GTTTCAGCTCATGTACCCCTTTATATTTTTCTCTTGTTTTTAATATTACCAATTATGTGATATAAGGCAGGCTACACTAATTAACATTAAACGCATTGTTAATATAGTGCATTTAATGTTAAATTAATATATCGGAGGGGCAAGGTGGGAAGGCGTGCAAGGGCTTCAAGTGCAGGTGGCCACATCCCTGCCCTCCCCCCCACCCCATGTATCCAGTACAGCTGCACCCCGTGGTGCAAGAGATGCAGCCTCCCCTCTCTCCCATCTTTCTTGTGCAAACCTCTTGTTAACCCAGGCCCCGCGATGCAGTCTCAGCTGCCCGAGTGCCTGTGCCCGTGTGGGGAAGATAGGTCAGGATTGGACCCGGGGCTCAGACACCCGCTTCTCCCTGAGAGGGCATTCAGCAGGGGGTGGCCTCCAGGCAGGTGACAACAGGGCACTGCTGCAGGCAACCTGCTCTTGGCCTCAACTCTTGGCACATGCTTAATGGCAGAAGAAAAACCAGAAATTTTTTTTTTTATTCGTTCCCTCAACATTTAAATTTTTATTCATTTTTTAAAATGATGCCACGAACCCCATTCAGCCCTGCATCCCCACTTGCACCTGCTGCACAGGGTGTGTTTGCACGCCCCAAGTACAGCAAACAGGCCTCCCAGGAGGGAAGAAGCCCCAAGCGGGATAGAGCCGAGCAGTGCGGTTACAGGCATGAATAAAAGGGCTTCGTTTTCTGCTTTTTGGGTCTTGAAGCAAGTTAGCCTCCAAAATAGGTCTCCCCCACCTCCCCCCAGCCTCCAAATATGGGCCCCCAAGTGCAGGGATGACCACGTGGCTGCTGCAGGGCTGGGTGCTAGAGAGGGGCAGGAGCCAGCCCTTCACCTGCAAGCCATGACCATGCCCTTAGCAGGCGGTGGCCACATTGCAGGGACACCTTAACTAAAGTTTAAATGTGTTGGAGCAGCCTCGCTGCACGTGTATAGGCGCCCTCGGAGCTACTCTATTTGAAGCACCCCGCATCCCAGACCACATGTATAGATGCCCAATATGCCTAAATTGTGTGCTTAAATTGAACAGGTTGCCCTTTTGTACTTGTTTCCAACAGTACCCAAAAGACACTAGAAAATAGCATCTGTTACCCCGCCATTCTTTTGAACTGTACCCTCACACTAGCTCTATGAGAGGCAAGTATGGTTTTATTTCTTTGGTCAGAAAATTCAAACTATGTACTGAGCAAAGAATAAGAATCCACAAAAGAGTTCAGTCTGCACAAACATGCTTGAATCACACAAAACCTTTTAAATAACGTATGGGACTTTAAAGAAGAATCTTTCAAGCTAGTTTCCAAAACCATTATTTAAGATTCACTTTGGCAGGTCTACTGCATACAGATAGAAGCAATTTCAAAAATACATTATGCTTAGCTGGCAGCCAGCAAACTTTAGCAAGCCATAGGCCAGAACAACCCAGCTCCAGCTTGACCAGCAGGCTTCATTAGCATGGCAGTAACGAGAGGCTTTGTCTGAGCCCATGCCAGAAACAAGCAAGTGGGAGCTGCACCCACATTGCTGCCACTTCCTCCAGCTCTGGTCCCCAGCTTCCAGCTGGTAGGGACCTGTTCTGGGGTAAGGCAGCTGGTCAGGCAGCCCCCTACCTACCCCCACCTGCAGCGCAGTTCCCTACCAGCTGAAAACTGTGCCTGTTACAACCAGGGCACAGGGTGTGGGGTGAGAGAGGGGTGGAGGCCAAGGGAAGAGCTGGTGGCACAAGCACAGCTTCCAGCAGCTCAGGCCTAGCATAGTTCCTTGCTCCCTGGCTCCAGACCAGACAAAAGCCTCCAGCTCCATGGACTGGATCCAGTGGTTCAGCAAGCCATACACTGCTGACCCTTGCTCTTAGCCATTGTGAAACTAAAAATTAAAACCAGCCTGTAAAAGTAGATTATCATCTGATATGGAGCTGGGGTGCTGGAATATAGGCATAAACCTCAACTTGCAAGTGTGAATTCCAACTTCAGCCACCCTATTTCTCCTGCCCTGTTATGTAAACCCAGAAGAGATGCCATGTTGAATAATTCTTCTATTATTCTAGCATTGCTCAGAACTAAATGGTGAACTGAAACTGCTAAAAAATAAGTTCCTAGTTTAATCTCTCCTGAATTAAAGCACACAAAGTTGGTATCTTATAAAAGCCAAACCCAAAAGAATGGCAGCCTCTTTCTAACTAACTAGTATTAGCAGAGTTAGACAGCAAGAGTGCAAAAGGACCATTCCCCTTGTCCTTTTCAATTATCTGAGCCATTGGTTCTCGATCAATGAGCCACAGACACCCTCTTTTTGGGAAAGGCATTCTAAAACTTCTATTCCAGGGGTTTTCAAACTTTTTAATGTGTACACCTTCTGTCTCAAAGTTTCAGCTCATGTACCCCTTTATATTTTTCTCTTGTTTTTAATATTACCAATTATGTGATATAAGGCAGGCTACACTAATTAACATTAAACGCATTGTTAATATAGTGCATTTAATGTTAAATTAATATATCGGAGGGGCAAGGTGGGAAGGCGTGCAAGGGCTTCAAGTGCAGGTGGCCACATCCCTGCCCTCCCCCCCACCCCATGTATCCAGTACAGCTGCACCCCGTGGTGCAAGAGATGCAGCCTCCCCTCTCTCCCATCTTTCTTGTGCAAACCTCTTGTTAACCCAGGCCCCGCGATGCAGTCTCAGCTGCCCGAGTGCCTGTGCCCGTGTGGGGAAGATAGGTCAGGATTGGACCCGGGGCTCAGACACCCGCTTCTCCCTGAGAGGGCATTCAGCAGGGGGTGGCCTCCAGGCAGGTGACAACAGGGCACTGCTGCAGGCAACCTGCTCTTGGCCTCAACTCTTGGCACATGCTTAATGGCAGAAGAAAAACCAGAAATTTTTTTTTTTATTCGTTCCCTCAACATTTAAATTTTTATTCATTTTTTAAAATGATGCCACGAACCCCATTCAGCCCTGCATCCCCACTTGCACCTGCTGCACAGGGTGTGTTTGCACGCCCCAAGTACAGCAAACAGGCCTCCCAGGAGGGAAGAAGCCCCAAGCGGGATAGAGCCGAGCAGTGCGGTTACAGGCATGAATAAAAGGGCTTCGTTTTCTGCTTTTTGGGTCTTGAAGCAAGTTAGCCTCCAAAATAGGTCTCCCCCACCTCCCCCCAGCCTCCAAATATGGGCCCCCAAGTGCAGGGATGACCACGTGGCTGCTGCAGGGCTGGGTGCTAGAGAGGGGCAGGAGCCAGCCCTTCACCTGCAAGCCATGACCATGCCCTTAGCAGGTGGTGGCCACATTGCAGCCAGACCTGTGGTGCCTCCCTCATCCCTACAGGCCTGGGTGAGCTGGGAAGTGCAAGGTTGGTCCCTGCAGCGCCATGCTACCCTACCAGACACAGGTGCCAAGGAGCAGTGGGCTTGAAGCAGCCCCATGTGGGCAAGGCGCAAAACAGCGAGCCCAGTCAATGGGGTTGTTCACGCACCTTGCACAAAACACTGTGCCGATTCACATCTGCACACAGGCACCTTTCACCAGCACCTGCATTCACTGGGCAACGACAGAGCAGCTGCCTGGGACGGGGGCTGCATGCTAATGGTGGTGCTCTACCCGCAACACAACTGCAGCAGCTCTGGAGGCTGGCATGAGCCCTGCGGGCACTGCACTCTGCATCCACTACCAGGAGCCCTTGAGAGGGGCCATTGGGGAACAGAGGGTCTCAGGCTCTCCCCATGTCTGGCTTAGAGGTCCCAGGGGGTGATCTGCCATGGCAGGGGGTGCCCCCAGCAGTCTCAAGCTGGGGCCCAGGCTACTCGTGGGGGCTCAGGCTACTGCTCCCCAGGTTTTCCCGGCCCCTTCCCACCCTGCTGGGCACCTTTAGCCCTCAGTGAGGTGTGAGGGGGAAATGCCTGACAGAGGATGTGGATGCTGCCCAGGGCGTGCAGACAGCCGCGGGCTGGGGGCAGGTGAAGCTGCCAGAGCAGCCAGTTGGCAGCGCTTCACCCTCGGGCAGCTCATTCTGCATACCCCTTACCCCCTTTTTAAGTACCCCTAGGGGTATGCATACCTTCAGCCGACAACCACTGTTCTATTGTAATGTAGGGGGAAACGATATAAAGTTTAAGATTTTCTCATTTTAAGCTGACCAATCAGAGAACAATCCTCTCAGCAGCCAAAGAAATTATGAGACAGTTGAGGAAGGAAGCCATTATCAAAAGCTAATGAAACAATGAATCTGCTAATATAAAAGTTGTTCTAGTCATATAACATCTGACTCATAATAATTAAGTCTTCCCTTACACCACCATGGAAAAAGTGTTGCATTTTGGTGAGGAGGGCAGTTTTCAAAAGAAGTTATGATTAATTATAAAGAAGTCATAGTGGATTGAGTCTAACAACTCTGAAAGGAAAATTACATACGGAAGTTACCATCCAGATGCATTCTTTCAGGCTGCTTTTTCTGTCTAAGGACTTTTAATTAGTTACACAACTCTCCCTCCCTGTGTGTTTACACGCTGTGGACTCTTTAAAATGGCAGCACATAGTTCACTCTTAACATGACAGGGCACAGAAGGCTGGTAGGAACATATAATCTCTCTCCACTAGCAAAATTAGGCCTAAACCTAAAACTAGAAATAAGCTTAAAACTTCAGGAACCCCTACCACTACCACTCATTTTAGACCAGTTTGTAGAGTATGGTAAAGACAGACCCAATCCAGAACAACAGGAACATTGCAAATCATGTAATATCCTCTAGCAATTGTAAAGTGCCCCAGCCAGCTTCAGCTACTGACCCGATATTGTACATCAGGACAAGAGCAGTGAAAGCCTCATTGCATATATACTTGATTCATTTTGGCATGCCTGGATTTGAGCATCTACTTTCCACCTCCCCTGAAAAGGAAGCCTTACCTCTGCTTGAACAAATGTTAGCCCTTGTTATCTTAAACCATTCTTCCATTTTGCATCTCTCTCCTAGGCAGGAAAAGCCCACAGACTGAGTGCTGAGGAGAGGGAGCAGCTGCTACCAAACCTGAGAGCTGTAGGCTGGAATGAGGTGGATGCGAGAGATGCCATCTTCAAGGAATTCCATTTCAAGGACTTCAATCGGGTACAGAACTGACACCTGGGTTCCTATATCAAGTGGCCTGGTGGTTTAGGACAGGGAGTGTAATAAGGAAATTGATTGAAGCATTTTTCTATTCAATTAACACATGTAGGCCAGAATGGTCCTCCTGTACTACAGATCATAGGACCTCACTTTTTGGGGGTGCGAGACAGGAGGCGAGTGCTTAGAGCAGGTCATGGAAGGAAGATGCAAACCACTGAACCAGACAGTGTTTTTCATTCATTCTTCCCATTCACAAATACGTAGATCCTATGGAAGTCCAGCAGCAAGCAGCTTTTTGGCAATTTGTGCCTGTCTGGCTTCCTTAAAAGTTATTTCTATATAGGATAAACTAGCTGTGGCAGAGCACAGGGTGTCTCTGCCACTTTAAGGGCCTGGAGCTGGCAGCCTCCAGGTGCCTGACGAGGGCAGCCATTTTGAGGCCTAGGCTGCCTATATAAACAGGGCAGTTTGGCTGCAGGAGGCCAAGCAACAACATTGCCTGGCTGCAGGGCTGCTGCAAATGACCCGGAGGTAAGGGGGAGCTGCAAGGGGTTGGTAAGGAGGCTCCTGGTCCTGGGCATGACTTGAAACTGCACCCTGCCGGGAGTGGGTGGTCTGGTGGGGCTCTCAGTGGCGCGGGAGCCCCCAGGAAATGCCAGGCCAGTGATCACCCCGGTGAAAGGCGGGTCGGGGCGCCTTAACCCCTAGCTCCCACCACCGGGTGGGTAACCCTATGTTGGAGGGGCCCAGAGGGCAGACCCCGAGAGAGTGTATGGAGTACAGGGCGTGGTGCTGCAGTTGCCCCTGCAAGGACGGGGAGTAGTGGCACGGTGAGGCCTGAGGATGAGAAAGAGGGGCTAGAGACCCAGCCCGAAGGGGATAGTACCCTCGACTGGCCCATGCTGGGGCCAGGACCAGAGAGGGTCAAAAAGGCCGGGGGCCCACCACGAGGGACGCCCAAGAGCCCGAGGCCTGGGGTCCCGACTGGCCTCGCGGTGGGCCAGGGCCAGGTAGCCCAAGGGGGGCCCGTGATAGTGTTAACACCCAGATGCCATCTGTGAGGCTTGGGCTGCGGTATTAGGGGAGGTCGGAGCCGCAGAGCGCCCCCTGGCATCGGGGCACTACAATGGGCAGCCTCCTGCTTAATTGACATTGATATACGAATCAATTATCATCAAAGGCGTGGCGGGCGAGATAAGCGGGCGGCTGCCCAGAGACAGGTGGGCGGGTGGGCCACGAAGAGCTCGGCCCTGAGTAGGCCTCCTGTCACAGTGACAGGTGGGGGGGCCACAGAGCTCGGCCCCAGGAGGCCCCGTCACACTAACATAAACAAACTTTAAAGAAAAGACAGCACAAAACTAACTTCTCTTTCATTTTATCTGGGCAGGCCTTTGGCTTCATGACCAGAGTAGCCTTACAGGCAGAAAAACTGGACCACCACCCTGAATGGTTCAACGTTTACAACAAGGTAAAAGGAAAGGAATGGGTTTTATTAGATCTTAAACGTGGAGGGTGTTGCAAGTTTAAACAAAGGATAAAACATAACACTTGGCTATTTCTACTATCAAGATTAGGAAGCTGTTTATATGAAGTGAGGCTTGGAAGTTGGGTATGGGTAAGAACATAAGAACTGCCATTTACTGGATCAGACTGTACATGTCTCATGCCCAGTATATTGTGCCACACAGTGGAAGAGGGTGGATGCTGACAGGGAGAGTGAACTGGGTATGAGCAGGGCTCCCACCCCACTGTTCCTTTCTCACTTGCAGCCTCTAGCATTTAAGGTATAGGAAATTCTCATTCAGAGGCTGTATCCTCAATTCTCATGCTCAGTAGCTACCGATGCCCTTTTTCCTCTAAGAATCTGTCCGATCCCTTTTTTCGTTGGAGTACCATAATGTTTTCACTCTTTTCTGGTATTTCCGCTCTCCCTTCCAACTATTAGGGATTTTACTTGTAGCACTATAAGAAAAATAACAGTGGAGCCTGTTTCAGATAGGTAACTACTACAACACTAGGATAGGTTTAGACTATCATTGTTTTCTACACCAATTGCAGCATGGGTTTTTGTTTGTTTGTTTGTTTGTTTGTTTTAGGTACACATCACCTTGAGTACACATGAATGTGCAGGTTTATCTGAGCGGGATATCAACTTGGCCACTTTCATAGAGCAGGTTGCAGCTTCTCTGTCTTAAATAAGGCAAAGTAAGAATTGATTTTACAGCCACTGCTGCCTCACTTTTCAAATCATACAAGAGCAGTTGGATACATTTGCCAAGCAATTACTGATAGAAAAAGACAACAAAAAACCAATTACTGATAGAGAAAGACAAAGCAAGGTTCTCTACCACAGCTCAAGATTTCCAATGGACTGAGCAGCCCTAGCCTACTTCTCACTCACAAGGATGGAAGTTTTGTTTAATGATTTGCATCCACTTTTGTCTAGAAATTAGCAGACTCAAATCCTGTTTGGTCTACCAGTATGCAAGTTGCTTGATCTTTCGCGTTTTCTGTACGTATAGCTTTTACCAGAAGGAGTAGTGCTACACAACTGCATAAACAAACTGTTATAAGTATTTCTTTCCTAAGCAGTTGTTCTTGCTTCTTACCTAATAACTATATTTTACTATCTATTGTAACATGTGTGACCTTGTCTCTCTTGTGTACTGTATATGTGATGTGCAGTTTGGTTACATGTAATCCTTATTCAAGCAGTATTATATAAGACATGTGGGAGTCACCTGCATTGCAAACGGCTATTCAATAAAAGGTAGGAATCAGAAAAGCATGCTACAACATTTCTAAGCATTTACAATAAAAGTGTTTATAACCAACTTGTTCACCAATTGAATGGAATATTCATTGCACAGTTTTCACTGAACAAATTAGTGAGCAACTTCCTTGGCCTTTTCACTTAATTGCTCTTGCTATCACAATGCTTTAATTTACTCCACTCTTCCTTCACTGCAGAGGGAAGTCTTAACATTGTTGCAGAGCATAACAAATAGCTTCTGGGGAAGCTGCACATGCATCTACAGATCTGCGCCTCCAAGTAAAATGGCACTGCAACCAAACAGGATCCAGAAGGGAATTCAGGACTCCTCACATGAGGGGACTTTCACAAAATTGGACTTATAAAGCTACTTAGATTAGCTATCAAATTGTTGTAAACACGGAAAGGTATCCTTGGCTCAGAGACTGACAGAAAAGACAGTATTCAAGGTTGTACTGCAGATGTAGTAAGTCTCTGAAAAAAAAGTGAATGCTTAAAAAACCCCCATCCAGGAAGAGCACACACCAACTGCTGAAGCTTCCTTAGCCTGACGAAGGGTTTTTGAACCCCAAAGCTTGCTTAATAACTATTCTCCAACCATTGGGGTTGGTCTAATAAAAGATATCAAAATCACCCAAGGAACCTTGTCTGCCTATGTCCTTAGACCAACACAGCTACAACCCAAACCCCTAAAACCCGCCCCCACATTTTGCAATACAAGGGTATTCTGTTTTCAGGCAAAAATGAGATGAAGAGTATTAAAAGGTATTTTGACACTATTGCAGGCACATCACTGTAATAACTTGGTAAGTAAGTTATTCTGTATTCAAACTGCTACTTTTAATATACCAAATTTTACTTTGGCTGGGGAAATTCAGTAACTCTCTTTACCAAAATCCCAGGAAGAGCTCTTCAAGTGGCTAACTTGATTGTAATTTTTCTATTCTACTGGCTCCAAAATATACCTGAATAAATCCACAGCTCTTCAGTATAACTTGCTTTCTGCACTTTTAAACAGCTGGAGAGAAAATATGCCAAAGATAATGCCCTTATCAGGACAGTGAAAGGAAGAGCTGTTGCAATAACTGCAAATCACATTATTTAACAATAAGCCACACTTTAGGAGCCATGACCTAGATTTTATGCTGTTTAGGACCAGCTTCGCATCAGTAAAAGGCAGATAAAGTATGCCAGGATGCCCAAATGCACTATATTAGTATTTAAAAAAATGCATTATACCATTTTTAGGTAGTAGTGAGCTAAAGCAAATACAGAATCACTATTAGATCAACTTCTCTTATATAGGCCCTCTGCAAATAGCTTGTGTACATTTAGTGTACAAAATATCCTAACATTGTATGCACTCTGCACGCACACGCACACACACACACTGCCCTCTCCAAGGCTTAAAGAGAGACTGTATCCTGATGTGTCACATAGAATAGTCTTCAGTTTGATAAGTAAAGATCAAACATGTGCAAGCACTTAAACTTCCTTGTGAAGACTTGTGTATACCCAATAACTCCATTCTCCACATCTCAAACATTACCAGTGTTTAATACCATATTTGGATAGCTATCCAGTAGTATGTTGCAGGAAGGCAGAATCTGATATTTTGGGAAATCCCTCCACCTATAAAAGTACCATCAAGTTTTTTATTACAGTCTGTTCTTTAGCTTTTAAAACCAAGTATATAAAGGTATTAAATGACACAGGTCTTCCCAAAAAAACTGCAAATATGCATGATAAAGGAGATACGGTTTCTATATTAAAAGACAAAAGTAAATTAAGACTATGTACTAATAAAATACAGTATCATTCTTACAGTATAGAACAAATTCACATAAAACATAGTTAAAGTCACAACCATTAACCATAGGTAAACATCAGAATGGAGTCACTTAGACTGATAGGCAAGTTGTGAAATACATCTAAAAACATGAACAGGAACACTGATTTGTTAAACCCAACTGTTTGTTTTTTTTGTTTTGTTCTGTTTTTTTAGGGAGAGGATTAGGAATTTGGGGACCATTTTTAAATAGTATTTCCCTTTTTTTTTTTTTTTTTAGTCTGGACTAAAAGGAGAGCCAAAGTAACCAGGCAGCTATACAGAAGAACCACCCCCATCCAAGGTACAGTGAATTCTGATAGTGATACAGTGATGCTCAAATGGCACAACAGTAACAAGATCAAGAAGTCTACACTTTGACTACCAAAGTTGGCAAAGCACAAATAGGCAAAAAAAAAAAGAAAGAAAAAAAAAAATAATTTCCAAAAAATTTAGAGAAAACAGACACATACAGCCTAAAACCCATGAGATGGCCAAGATATAGCATCTTTTGAGTAGAAAATAATGGACATATTTATAAATGAGATTATCCATCCCCAAAGACATTGGGCCCAAAACTAAATTTGCTTTTGCAATGTTTGGTAATTCACTCTTGCAAGCTGGATAGTTATTGTGCAAGTGTGTACTTCAGACATATTAAGCCAATGAGGCTTAGCTCAGCATCAGTTTGGTTGCTAGTAAATCTTGTACTACCCAGAGAGCTACCCCTTTAAGATGTGCAGCAGATTTTCCACAATGAGTAGCACAGCAAGACCATCTCTTGAAGTGTCTAGTGATATAACAAAATGGAAATGCACTCCACCCCTCAATATATGGCTCTGCAGGACTAACCCCATGACTCATTAGCATCATCAGTGCTTCTAGTATGCTTTAGGGGCAGCAGTGATTTGATAAGGTTACTCTATGTAATTTCTGCACAGGACATACTGATATGGAAAAAAACAGTGCAGGTGAGGCTAATTCTCAAAAGAGACTTTCCATGCAATGCAACACCTTGATATCTAGTATTTATTAGATCCCACCATAATAGTTCCCTATCAGCATTATGCCAGTACCTCTGTAACACTAAGAAGACTTGGCTCAATAAAACTATCTTGTAGCAAAGGTGGATGTACTGTACCTGAGGCCAATTTGCCACTGAGATTATTTTCAATATAGTACCATAACAAGCTGACTGTGGCAAAACATCACAGTCAGTAGCTGATCCATCACACTCTTCCTGGAGTCCCAGAAAAACCCAGGGCAGTGTCAAGGCACACTGGTGAATGCCCTTTGAAAATGTGCCTTAAAAAAAAAAAAAAAGTCAGTGCAAAGAGCAGGTAGAGACTACTACTTCTTTTACAAAAGTCACCATTTCATGCCAAAAGATGATGTAAAAAAAGTTAACTTTGGTGCCACGATTGCACGTCAGTGCCCAACCATTCCACAGAGTATGGCTCAACTACTTGACATCAGCATTTTAGGATAGTGCAAATCCTTCTGTTTAAGCACAATAAAATAACCATTTTGCTCTCTTCCTCCAGACTTGTGCAAAATACAACAGCTTTATGGATGGACAAAGATGTTCTAGAAAAGCTTGTTAAGCAGACAGTGGTTCTTCAAGATTACTGTGGAACTTATTTCCCTTTCATCCATTAGGTTTAAAATAGAATTTCCCATTACAATTCCAATGGATACAAGATTCTAGAAGAGGTTGGTCATCCATTGCTCCACCCTCCCCCTCCCCCCAAAAGGAAGTCATTCAAAGAAATTACAACAGAAAATATGCCTAACTGGTATCTCCATACAGATAACTTAAAAGACTGAAAGGATAAATCAGTAAAGGAAAGGAATCACAGTGCAGAGTTAGCTAAATGTAAGTCCCCAAAATCTGTTAAATGCAGTTTCCTACCACAGCTTACAACACAATTGGAGAAATTATTGAAAACCTATGCTCCATTCGCTTTCTACCTCCAACTTGGGGGGAAGCTGTCTTGAGCATCCCAAAGTGTTAATTTTACACTAAAAATCTGAACCCTAATGGGAGGTTCACTAACTGTAATGTCTAGAGAGTTCCCCCCCTCTCCCCAGCCAAGGGGAAGAAATGATAAGGAATGAACTGAAACTTAGAATACCTGAGGAATTTGGGGTTGTGGAATGGACTTCTGACTGCCACAAACACTACCATTCCATTCAAGTCATTTAGGACTAGCCGTGGCAGTTAACTAAGGTGATGGAATAGAACAACTAAAACTGAACAGATAGAAAAGTGAAAACAACTCAAAAAGAAGTTTGAGTGTGAAGGGAATAGAAAAAAAAGAGAGAGAAGAGAAGGAAAAAAAATGTATAGATCAAGCTGCCACATGACCTGTACTTGCAGGAACACAGAAAGATCGTAGCCTAATGCAATTCCCTTTCTCCAGAAATTCTTCAAAAAGTCACCCCAGTACTGGCTGGTAAGGCACCAAATGCTACATATTCAATGGTGTCTGGGAGAACCATTCATGTGTTTTTCACTAGAAGGGTTGTCTGTGTTGTAGAGGGAGTCCAAGTATGCATGGGAAATCTCTGCTACCAAGCTTCTGTCTGGGATAGACTGCGCCATTCCGTAGATGGCACCCTATGTTAAAAAAAAAAAAGAAACAGTGATTAAAACAGAAGCACTCACTACCCTAAGAGGGAAGTATCCGCTTTAAGATGTAAAACTTTCATTCCAAGTTTATCCTTGTTGTGCAGCAGTGACTTACCACGCCAGTGGTCTTGGCTCCAGGGTCTTTCATGATCTCCAAGATGCATTCTTTGACATCTTCCAAAAACAGTTCTGCAACCCCATCTTGTGTGTGCAACAATGTAATGCAAAGGTGAATGCTGCAGATGAAAGGGAAAGTAAAGATTAGTCACTTAACCATGGGAAATATGGAAATCTCTACATAGTACATTTTTAGAGTAACCAAGGGGTTTCCAATCATGTCATTCCTCTTAAACGAGGAGCCCAGCCTGGGAAAAATTAGGCTGACATGGCCCAGGGCACTAGGCAGTTTCTCACTGCTACCCCTTCAAATAATCTTCCTATAGAACACACATTATACCACGCTATTTTTCAGACTTTTGAAAGCTGAGCTCCTCCTCACAGAAATAGTAATCAAACCTCCCTCCACAGTACTGTAAAAGTCTTGTGAACTTTAATACTTGACCCCACAAACCATCTGACTTATCTTTTATATGCATGGTCCCAAAACCAAACATACCTAACTCAGGAAATACCTGTATGGATCTTTGTAAAAATATTTCCTCCACTTTCAATTAAATATTTAAATGCTAACTCTGCTATCATTCACATGTGAGTTAGTATCCATTAAAATGAATGAGACAGTGCACACCTCTGAATTATTATTTTAGGCTCTCTACAAACTCTTTACTTTCTTCATGTTTTGAAGGTTTTCATCACAACAGTTAAGGAGGTCTGCCCCCTTCCTGCCTTCTTTAAACAGCATTCACATACCCAAAGGGGACATGTTTTGTACCTTGGGAAATGATCATTTACATTGCTATTTTATTAGATGTGATCAACACTAACCCTTTTAAATTCCAAGTAGTATGCATCTGCACTGGAAAAAATCCTTACTATTACCTTGTGCTAGTGAGCACATGGCAATTAACAGGATGAAAAATCCAAGTGAAGACAAAGCAATTTGTACTTCTCAAAAGTGTTAGGAGATCAAGGAAGAGTATGGGAGAAAGCTTCAGGTTCACTTCCACCTAAAACTTATGTAAATTTACAACTGCCCCATCTTCATTAAAATTTTATTTTGCATTAGTTACTATGTTAGTTAACACAGGGATAAAAATGAACCTGCTATCCTAGTAGCTGTCAGCCTAAAATCCAAGACACCCCCTGATAGGCTTGAGACACCCTTTGAGAAAGTGCCAGCTCTTACTTTTCACTTCTCTGACTACAGAAAAATACTAGAACAATTATTCTGTTGCAAAAAGCTCAGAAAGCCCACAGCAAGGCAAAAGGAATCCATAGTGTGAAAACCAATTTGAAATGTCTGGGTTTATCTTGGGAATCAAGCTGACACTTAACAGTGCAACATTGTGTGGCACTCCACAGGACCCCTAAAAGAATCTCAAAGCACTATCCCCATGGCAAGGAAGCCTAAACAGAAGTTGTCAAATCAGAAGTCAGTTCCTCATACATACAAAACACACACCAATAATTTTATACAGCCAGGTTACACAGTTTGTCTAAAATCATAGCTTTCATTTCAGTAGCCAACTTACCTTCGAGGGAACTGCAGCACATTTAAGTTCCATCCTTTAGTGGCTAACAAATTTGACAATCGATAGATGTCAAAAGTATCTGAACCAACAGAGATGACAGACACCTCAGGACTGCCAAAGATTAAGATGTCATCGATTTTCCGCAATCTTGAAAGAGTTAAAAAAAAAAAGTTATTTATTTTTATTTTCTCTTGATATGGATACGAGGAAGATAACTATTTTGCATGCTTCCTCAGGCCAAAATGGAAAGCACTGTACAAATCTACCCATGGCAGCAAAACGTTTCCCTTCAAGCAGCTATAACAGGGGAAACAAGAACTCAAATCAGGACCCAGCCTATTGGAAGCTTTAAACTTAATCAATTCTCACAAAGGCAAGATGAGTCACCCACATTATCAAACTGAAGTCAACAGATCTAAGAGTTGTTTGAATAGTCTTGATTCTATTCCATCTCCCACAAGTTTTAGACAGAAATCCAGTCTTTGGGTTTTCTCCAGTAGGAAAATTAGAGTGAAAACCCAGCACCCAGGGAACCTGGTTCAACAGGAAAAATCAGAGGATAAGTCTTAATTCACTGAAATCCTGCTAATCTTGCTGGGTTAGGGAAGGCATCTGGCCTAATAATCTCCCTTCTTGCTTTGAGGAAGCTGCACCCATGTATGTGAAACATTTATGGAAGGAAAGGAATACATTTCACCCTCAAGTTTTCTACTCAAAGGGAGAGTGGGGAATCAATTTATTAGGCAAACTTTGAGCCAAAGTCTGAAAAAAAACATTTGGTCACTCTACACGTGAAAGGGAAATCTTACTGAAAAAAGATAAGAGGTTCAAGACATTGAATTCCAGAATATTTAAATCCTCCATTTAAAATAAGTGGGTGAATGAATGAACGGTGTGCACAGGTACCATGTTATCTTACTACAGTAAATCTACAGGCAGCCTTATTGCATCTCTTTACCACTCATAGTTGGTTA